GTGAGGGTCCAAGTCAACGTGAACCGCTGTACCAACGTCCCCATCCAATGCCAGTCACCAGAGCGCTCGCCGCCCCCCTCGTGTAGCTTGTCACCCCCCTCACGGAGCACAGCAAACACCAGCCACAAAGTAAGCAACGGCACTACTACGCACGTTCTTGTGTGTGTGGGGGGGGGGGGGCATTGCCGTATCACAGCTTGGCTATCAGCAATTCAAACCCCGGGCTTAGAAATCCCGAGATTTTAAACCACTCTGCTCAATCCCTTCTGCTTCCAATCCATCCAAGAAGCAGCTGGGACAAGAAAGAATCAGAGAATAAGGGCTGGTAGGTCTCCTTGAGGTCATCTAGTTCAACCCCAAGCTCGGGGCAGGGATCCAAGTGAAACCATCTCGGGGGATCATAATCCCGTGGTCTATTTTCTGGGCTGCTGAAAAGAAGACTTAATTAGCTTCAAGTAGCATCCTTTCCCGTTATTATTTTTTAAAAAAAGGCTCCTTCACTTACGACCACACTGGAGCTCAACATTTCTGTTGCTAAGCAGAGCCAGTTGTTAAGTGAGTTTGGCCCCCTTTTGAAAACCTTTCTTGCCAGGATTGTTAAGAGGATCACCGCAGTTGTTAAATGAGCAACCCGGTCGTTAAGTGAACCTGGCTTTCCTCACTGACTTATCAGGAGGTTGCAAAAGAGACCCACGTGACCCCAGGACACTGCAACCATCATAAATATGAGACAGTTTCCAAGAGTATGAATTTTGACCACGGGGGAATGCTGCAGCGGTCGTTAAGTGTGCAAAACGGGTCATAAACCACAATTTTGGCTGAAATGCCCTATTTAAGCAAAAAGCTAAAAGTTAAACCCTGACTCAGATTCGTTCGCCTGTTGGGTGAATGCTGGCGATGGCCTGGCCAGGTAAAAAGGTGTCTTGTGGATGCAGCCACCGCCCTTCCCATCCTAAGGGGGCCCTCCAAGGTTTCTCCTCCCCCAATCCCCAGTATGGGATGGGAGAGGACTAGGAAAGTAATAATAATAATAATAATAATAATAATAATAATAATAATAATAATAATAATAATAATAATAATAATAATGATGATGTCATCTAGTCCAACTCCCCGCTCAGGCAGGAAACCCTATACCATTTCAGACAAACGGCTGTCCAGTCTCTTAGAATAGAATAGAGCTGGAAGGGACCCTGGAGGTCATCTAGTCCATCCCCCCATTTCAGACAAGGGGCTGTCCAGTCTCTTAGAATAGAATAGAGCTGGAAGGGACCTTTGAGGTCATCTAGTCCAACCCCCCATTTCAGACAAGGGGCTGTCCAGTCTCTTAGAACAGAATAGAGCTGGAAGGGACCTTTGAGGTCATCTAGTCCAACCCCCCATTTCAGACAAGGGGCTGTCCAGTCTCTTAGAATAGAATAGAGTTGGAAGGGACCTTGGAGGTCATCTAGTCCAACTCCCTGTTCAGGCAGGAAACCCTATACCATTTCAGACAAATGGCTGTCCACTCTTTTCTTAAAAAACTTCCAGTGTTGGAGCATTCACCACTTCTGGAGGCAGGTTGTTCCACTGGTTAATTGTTCTGACTGTCAGGAAGTTTCTCCTTAGTTCTAGGTTGCTACACAAACCATAATCCCCACCCACCCACCCTGGCTGTGTGGGGCCAGGCCAGCTGGGGGAAGGAGATGGGGACTGTAATAACCCAGAGAGAGCACCAACTTGGGGAAAGTCAGCCCAATGAATTAATATATTAGGGGAAATACACCTAAATTAAAGCTGATCATATGATAAAGATGGGGAGCAAACCATAGAGCGTTGAGTCCTCCCGCGGCTAGAAAGACTCCCGCGCTTTTCTTCTCCCCCCCCTCCCGCTCTAGCCCCCCCACGCAGGAGGGAGGACGGCGGCTCCGACTCCGACCCCGACCGACCTCCTTTCGCCCGTCCAGCGAACCGCGATTCCCCACGTTCCCTCCCGGTCCCCGGGTAGCCATAGCAACCCGGGCCGCCCAGAACTCCACCTCCCGGCCTGCTCCGCGCGCGGACGCCGCCGACGCCGCTTCCTATAGGGCGGCGCTGTCCCGTCCCGGCGTCCTTTGCGCGGGCCTCTCCCCGCTCAGCCAATCGGCGGCGAACAGGTCGCGCAGGGGGAAAGGAGGAGCCAAGATGGCGGCGAAAGGCGGCGGCGGCGCGGGAGGCGGCGGCGGCGCTAGCAGGAACGGCATCCTGGACAAGGTAGCGGCTCGGCGGGGCGGCCGCTCGGCCTGCGGGGCGAGAGGAGGCCCCCTCTGGGACGAGGCGGGCAGAGCGGCCGGGCTGAAGGCCTCCCCGGCCCGGTTCGCCTTGGGAGCGTCAATCCCCGGCCCGGCTCTCCGCATCGCCCCGGTAGCTGAGAGGGCCGAGCTGCCTCTCGGGAGAGAGAGAGAAAGAAAGAAAGAAAGAAAGAGAGGCCGAGCCCCGCTTGGATATAACCCGGCGCCTGTCAGATGCGCGGGGACTACAACTCCCAGAATCCTCAGCCGCCCGGTTGGGAGACGAAGATGGAGCGGTGGGGGGGGGGGGAGGTGGAGGAGAAGAAGGAGAGCCTAGCCGTTGATTGGCCAGCTGGGAATTCTTAAGTGCGGAGAAAGAATAGCGTAGAATAGGAGCTGGAAGGGACCTTAGAGGTCATCTAGTCCAACCCCCCCCTTCTAGAGGTGGAGACCCTTACAGAATCGCAATAACTAGAATTGGAAAGGGACCTTGGAGGTCATCTAGTCCGCACACAATTCTGCTCGAGCAGGAGACCCTTACAGAATCACAATAACTAGAATTGGAAGGGACCTTAGAGGCCATCTAGTTCATCCTCCCCCCCGCTGGAGCAGGAGACCCTTACAGAATGATGGAAGAACAGGGTTGGAAGGGACCTTGGAGGTCATCTAGTCCACCACCACCACCCCGCTCAAGCAGGAGACTTACAGAATGATAGAAGAACATCATTGGAAGGGAGGGTTGGAAGGGACCCTGGAGGCCATCTAATCCACACACCCCCTTCTCAAGCAGGAGACCCCGTACAGAATCACAGTAACTAGAGTTGGAAGGGACGTTGGAGGCCATCTAGTCCATCCCCCCCACCCGCTGGAGCAGGAGAACAGAGTTGGAAGGGACCTTGGAGGCCATCTAGTCCATCCCCCCTTGCTCGAGCAGGAGACCCTTACAGAATGATAGAAGAACAGGGTTGGAAGGGACCTTGGAGGTCATCTAGTCCACCACCACCACCACCCCGCTCAAGCAGGAGATTTACAGAATGATAGAAGAACAGGCTTGGAAGGGACCCTGGAGGCCATCTAATCCACCCCCCCCTTCTCAAGCAGGAGACCCCGTACAGAATCACAGTAACTAGAGTTGGAAGGGACGTTGGAGGCCATCTAGTCCATCCCCCCCCCCCGCTGGAGCAGGAGAACAGAGTTGGAAGGGACCTTGGAGGCCATCTAGTCCATCCCCCCTTGCTCGAGCAGGAGACCCTTACAGAATGATAGAAGAACAGGGTTGGAAGGGACCTTGGAGGTCATCTAGTCTACCCCCTCCGCTGGAGCAGGAGACCCTCTACAATTCCAGTCAAATGGTTAAATGCTGCAGGGAGGCGTTTTCCAGGCTCTCAGGACTCTTCCTGCATTGTTTTTACCTTAATTCAGTATTTTATCTCCTGTATTGTATTGTGCAGGTGTTTTTATTTTGTAGGTGTATGTGTCTCCTTGTTGACGTTTTATTTAAACTTCTATTTGTGTTGGTATGTCTAATGTGTGTTTTATTAGTGAGGTATGTCTGTAGATGCCATATGCTGAATGAAATACAGGTAGTCCTCGACTTAACGACAGTTTGTTTAGTGACCGCTCGAAATGCCGACACTGAAAAAAAGCCAGTTATGACTGTTTTTCACATGACAAAATTCAGACACTTGGCAACTGACTCGTATTTATGACGGTTGCAGTGTCCCTGGGTCACGTGGTCCCCTTTGGCAAACTGAATACCGCAGCCAATTTTGATCACCAAAATATCACAAAAAAGATGTTGAGGGTGTGGAAAAAATTCAGAGAAGAGCGACTAGGATGATCAAAGGCCTGGAGACTAAAACATACGAAGAACGGCTGCAGGATGGAAAAGAAGAAATAGGGGAGACATGATAGCAGCGTTCCAGTATCTGGGGGGCTGTCAAAAAGAAAAGGGGATCAAATTATTCTCCAAAGCACCAGAGGGAAGGACGAGAAACAATGGTTGGAAACTGACCAAAGAGAGAAGCAACCTGGAATTAAGGAGAAACTTCCTGACAGTGAGAACAATCAACCAGTGGAACAGCTTGCCACCAGAAATCGTGGGCGCTCCATTGCTGAAAGTTTTTTAAAAAGAGACTGGACAGTCACTTGTCTGAGATGGTATAAGTTCTCCTGCTTGAGCGGGGGGCTGGACTAGAAGACCTCCAAGGTCCCTTCCAGCTCTATTCTGTTCTAAGTCCTTCTCTCTGTTGTGTTCCAGTCTCATTTCAATTTCACAGGCAGATTCCCTCACTGTGTTCAGCTTTCCTTCGATTGAAAACAAAAATAAAATTATTTTTCGCTTACAGTCCTGTCAGACATCGGCTATTGGATCTTAAGAAACCGACTCTTCTTTATTTTTATAATTCTTAGAGGAGGAAAGCTTTTTATAGCTGCCTTGACTTTACTGATTTTTTTTCCCCTGCTTCTGTGTTGAGAATAAAAGCACAATGGTGTTGTCTTGATCTGAGCCTTTCAGCTGTTGCCTCAGAGGACATTCTGGTCCATAAGCAAGCTGACTGCCAGATTTGATTTTTTTTTAAAAAAAGTTAGAATTAAGTTGTCATTCCGGACAGTTGAAAATTTTTTAGATATGGCCGTTGGGTTTCAGAAAGGATGATGTGTCTTTTTCTTTGAAGCTGGCAACAGGAAGTCAGCCAGTAGGAGGAAGGAACACCCACAATGAGAAGGGAGGTGAGGGGTTTTTTTTAGACATTAGTGTTACTTGATTGTGTTCATATCCAGGGACTGCTTAACTTACAACTACAAGTGAGCCTGCAATTTCCTTTGCCAAAGCAAAAACAGTTATGGTAAGTTTTGCCGCATTTTGCGACTTTTCTTGCCACTGTTAAGTGAATCAATATTAAGGTTTTTTTAAAAAAAATATGCTTTATTGATTTTCTAGTTTTACATTTAAGTATTTAAAAAGCAACGTGGCGGCTGGGTTAATAATACAATGACATACATGTATCTTTAGTACAAGTCTCAAGCTAGGACATTAAATTTTTCCTCTCTCTTCCCTTTAGTATTTACTGTCTCCTGTTTAAACTAATACAGTTCTTATTATATCAATTCAATAAAAATGACATTCTTACATTTATCAATAATTTTGGGCTTATACATATCCTTATTATTTTAACATTCAGTCTTTATAGGCAACCCATGTCCTAATTAATTTCCCCCAATTTTTAGTTTCCCGTTAATATTTAACTTTAACATTTAATATTTATAATTTCCAAGTTTAAAGTAACCAAGGTTCCCTTTATCACAATTCATCACAAAATCTAATATTCAGAATACACATCTTAACTATTTGCATATATTCTATTTCTCACCATCTTACATCAACTAATGAATCAATATTAAGTTAGTCACATGGTTATTAACTGAATCTGGCTTCCTTGTTGATTTTGCTTGCCAAAAGATCACAAAAGCTGATCCCATGACTTGGGACACAGCAGTGGTCATATATATGAACCAGTTGCTAACCATCTGAATTTTGATCTTGAAACCATGGGTGGGTGTGTCCGTGTGCGTGTGTGTCTGTGCTACATTGGTTGTAAGGGTAAAAAAATGGTCCTAGGTCACTTTTTTTTCAATGCTGTTGTAGCTTTGAATGGTCACTAAAAGTCGAGGACTGCCTGTATTTAGAAGCTCTTCAAAGTCAGAATGGAAACTAACCAAAGAGAGAATCAACCTTAGAACTAAGGAGAAACTTCCTGACAGTGAGAACAATTAACCAGTGGAACCACCTGCCTCCAGAAGCGGCGAATGCTCCAACACTGGAGGTTTTTAAGAAGAGGCTGGACAGCCATTTGTCCGAAATGGTATAGGGTTTCCTGCCTGAGCAGGGGGCTGGACTAGATGACCTCCAAGGTCCCTTCCAACTTTATTATTATGGATCATCACACAGTCAGCCAGATGTTCAGACTGGATTTGGCATTTTGTCTACCTATCGAGTCCTTACCCAGGACCTGGGATAGGCAGATGTGGATGTTTGATGGTATTACAGATCTCGTCGCAGGATGGAAGCGGTTCCTAGTAAGGCCGCCTTTTGCAATTGACTAATGGCGAATTTGTCAATGCCGATGATGGTGTTCAAGTGGTGCTCCAGTTGTTTTGGGATTGCACCCAAGGCGCCTATTACTATTGGTACCACCCTAGCTTGCTTTTGCCACAGTCTTTCTATTTCTATTTGTAGGTCTCTGTATTTTGTTATCTTCTCCAGTTCTTTCTGGTCTATTCTGCTGTCTCCAGGCACTGCCACGTCCACTATCCAGACTTTTTTTGTCTGTCTTATCGACAATTGTTAAGTCCGGGGTGTTACGTTGCAGGTGCTTGTCTCTTTGAATTCTGAAGTCCCAGAGCAGTTTAACTTTATCATCATTATTATTGTTGTTTTGTTGTTGTTGTTGTTGTTGTTGTTGTTGTTGTTATTATTATTATTATTATTATTATTATTATTATTATTATTATTATTATTATTATGCATCTCTGGCCAGTCATTGTCCAGCTTCTGCTTGTTTTGGTAAGGTGCTGTTACGAGGTTCCAGACGCTAGTGGCTTTTGCAGAAAAAGATACTAGAAATGTGGCATTTCAGCAAAATAGGAATACGTTTAATATTAGCCCTGGCATGAGAGCCTCCATGCTATATAGCATATCAGGCAGCATTGCCGGTCTTGGTCAAATACTTCAGGGTCTTCCCATGTGACGTTTAGAGTCTTTAAGCCTTCTTCGCCATGTATTTTGAGGGTGTCCCCTTGGTGGTTTGATATGGGGGGGGGGAGGATTGTTCCATCTCATTGCCATACGATTTTAATGAAGAATTCGCCCAGTAAGAGCTTGTGTCGTGGAAAAACCCAAATGAAAAAGACAAGAGAGAGCAGCACAAAACAATCATTCTTATTTTGCTAACAATTTGGAACATAGCAAGCGTAATAACACAACGTCCCCTTACATTAACAATCCATGGCAATGAGGACCCTATGGCATTGCAGATTCCAAAAGGACAGCTATATGCCAGTGGCCAATCAATGAGGTCCAGTCCCAATCCTTTATACCAGCGGTTCTCAACCTGTGGGTCGGGACCCCATTTGGGGTCGATCGACCATTTCACGGGGGTCGCCAAGCAAGGCTGTCCACCATTTTTTTTCCCCTTTTCGGGCGGGTGCCTTACCTCCCTTGGGCTGGGCCAGCTGGTGGTCGGCCTGCTCCGTCTCTGCCGCTTGCCAGCTACGCCTCGGCAGGCGCAGGGGGCAAAACCATACATGCGCGGCGCTCCCGGGCAGGGAAAGTCCTCGACTTACGACCGGTTGGGTAGTCCTCGACGTACGACCGGTTTAGTCCTCGAATTACAACCGGTTTAGTCCTCGACTTACGACCGGTTGGGGGTCGCGGCATTAAAAAGGTTGAGAACCACTGCTTTATACCCTTTCCCATTCTAAGACTGTAGTCCAGTGATGACGAACCTTTTAGAGACCAAGTGCCCAAACTGCAACCCAAAACCCACTTATGCATCGTCAGGTGCCAGGTGGGTGTGGCCTATTGGGTGGGCGTGGCTGTGATGTAATGGCAGATTGGGTGGGACTAAAAAGTTCAATGAATCAATTCCAACTTTGCAAGATCTTTTTTTTTCCCCGTGAGAAGTTGAAATTGACTGACTAATTGAACCTTTTTTCTTTTTTTGCACACGGTGGCGGAGGCCTAAAGCAAAAAGGGTTTATAAAACCCAGCTGAAGGCCCAGGACTGGGGCGACGGCGCGGGTGCCCACAGAGAGGGCTCTGAGTGCCACCTCTGGCACCCGGGCCATAGGTTCCCCACCACTGCTGTAGTCAGATGGTCTGCTGACTTTTTGCTGAATTCTGCTGACTTTCTACTCCAGGGGTGTCAAACTCAATTTCATTGAGGGCTGCATCAGCATTGCCGTTGCCCTCGGGGGGGGGGGAGGCGGGAGTGTGTGGCCAGGGTGGGTGCAGCCTACTGGGTGGGCATGCATGGAGTGAGTGTGGCCTACTGGGTGGGTGTGGCCAGCTCTACATCGTTTGTGTCAAGGGGGCCTGGGCAGGCGTGGGACAGATCTGAGGGTCTCTGGCAGAAGGGGGGGGGGAGACCGGGGCAAGTGCCAAGGCATGGTCCACTGGAGGAGCCTCACTGTTCCTCTCAGGCCATGCACGGGGTGGGGGATTGTGGAGCTAAGACTGAATGTGTTTCAGCATAGGTGGCCACCACAACATTGTACATTGGCTCCCGGGCGGCCTGGGCCAGGGCCAAGGCAGCGGGGGCCGTTCCCTCACTGTTTCCAGGATGGCTTCGCGGGCCACATGAAACCACTTTATGGGCCGCCTCCGGCCCCCAGGCCTTGTGTTTGACATGTCTGTCCTCCTGACTTCCTGCTGACCTTCTGCTGAACATAACTATACATCGGGACCCTCATCCATCAGCTGCTTTCAGTTCCCTATTTCTTAACTGTTCCAGTCCTGATGTCCTAATAATAATAATAATAATAATAATAATAATAATAATAATAATAATAATAATAATAATAATAATAATAAAGTTGGAAGGGACCTTGGAGGTCATCTAGTCCAACCCCCTGCTCAGGCAGGAAACCCTATACCATTTCGGACAAATGGCTGTCCAGTCTCTTCTTAAAAACTTCCAGGGTTGGAGCATTCGCAGCTTCTGGAGGCAGGTGGTTCCACTGGTTAATTGTTCTAACCGTCAGGAAGTTTCTCCTTAGTTCCAGATTGTTTCTCTCCTTGATGAGTTTCCATCCGTTGCTTCTTGTCCTGCCTTCTGGCGCTTCTTAAAAACTTCCAGTGATGGGGAAGGAAGGAAGGAAGGAAGGAAGGAAGGAAGGAAAGCAGAATAGCAGAATAACAGAGTTGGAAGGGACCTTGGAGGTCATCTAGTCCAACCCCCTGCTCAGGCAGGAACCCTATACCATTCCTGACAAATGGCCATCCAGTCTCTTCTTAAAAACTTCCAGGGTTGGAGCATTCACCGCTTCTGGAGGCAGGTAGTTCCACTGGTTAATTGTTCTCACTGTCAGGAAGTTTCTCCTTAGTTCCAGGTTGCTTCTCTCCTTGATGAGTTTCCATCCGTTGCTTCTTGTCCTGCCTTCAGGCACCTTGGAGAATAGCTTGACTCCCTCTTCTTTGAAACAAGCAAGCTTAGCAAAATCATATTAAGTACAATTGCAAACTGCAAAATTAAGCACAGCACAGACTTGGCTTCAATACTTTGTCCACGAGGCCTGAGTTGGTTCACCTGGGCCTAAACCCTGCACAAAAGAACAATATTTATCGTTTTCCACAGAGCTTTGGGTGAACGCTGGGGAAATGATCATTCAAGACGTAAAATCCAGTACATTTAATGCTTGAATTTAAATATAGCTTCTTATTTAGGAATTAAGAGATATATAGTCCACCTTTCCTCCAGGGGTTGAAGTCAATATACGTAGCACCTCCTTCAACAGATACAGGTCTGACCAAAATTGGACCTCAACGTTTCTGTTGCCAAGCAAGATTGTTTTGCCCCCATTTTACGACCTTCCTTGCCTCCGTTGTTAAGCGGATCGCCGCCATTAAGTGATTAACACGGTCGTTGAGCGAATCGGGCTCCCCCCACTCACTTTTGCTTTCCCAGAAGGGGATCGCGTGACCCCCGGGGGACGCTGCAACCGTCGTAAATGCGAGTCGGTCGCCAAGCCTCTGGACTTTGTTCGCGGTGACCTCGGGGGGACGGTGCGACGGTCGTTAAGTGTGAAAACGGTCCTAAAGTCACTTTTTTCAGCGACGTCGTAGCTTTCGGTCGCTTAAATGAACTGCTTTTTTTTCTTTTTTTTTTTTAATTGCCTCAGTGGAAAATCGACGACAAACCCGTCAAAGTGGACAAGTGGGACGGGTCAGCGGTGAAGAATTCGCTGGATGACTCGGCCAAAAAGGTGAGCTCCCTTCTTCTTTTTTTTTGGAACAGCTGGACCCTTCGGCCCAATTCTGGTGCCTTTCCCGTCAGTTCTCCCAGCCTCCTCCAGGCTTGTTTTCACGCCGGCCAACTTGGAATTTCTGTATATATGTGTTCCTCTGCCGTTGCTAAGGATTCTTTCCTCGCCAATAGCAGTAGCCATTAGCCCTTAGACCAGGGGTAGGCAACCTCGGCTCTTTGATGACTCGTGGACTTCAACTCCCAGAATCCCTGAGTCAGCAGAGCTGACTCAGGGATTCTGGGAGTTGAAGTCCACGAGTCATCAAAGAGCCGAGGTTGCCTACCCCTGCCTTAGATTTATATACCGCTTCTCAGTGCTTTACAGCCCCTCTCTAAGTGGTTTACAGAGTCAGCATATTTGCCCCCAACAATCTGGGTCCTCATTTTATCGACCTGGGAAGGATGGAAGGCTGAGTCAACCCTGAGCTGGCCAGGGTCAAACTGCTGGCAGTGGGCGGTCCTCCTCCTCCTCCTCCTCCTCCTCCTCCTCCTCCCTGCAGACCTCCTCCCCCTTCTAGCACTGATGATGTTCCCTAGTTAGGTAATGAATGTCTGCAAGAAAACAACCAATCTCAGAGGGGATCAAGGACTCTAGTGTCATCGTTCTCCTCCTCTTCTTCCTCTCTGGAAACCCCTTTCCCCGCTTGCACTGATAATGTGCCCTAGTTGGATCATGAAACGTCTGCAAGAAAACCACCCAGCTCAGAGAGCACCAAGGACCCCCCCAGTCTGTCTTTCCTTCCTTCCTTCCTTCCTTCCTTCCTTCCTTCCTTCCTTCCTTCCTTCCTTCCTTCCTTCCTTCCTTCCTTCCTTCCTTCCTTCCTTCCTTCCTTCTCTTCCTCCTCCTCCTCCCTCCCTCCCTTCCTTCCTTCCTTCCTTCCTTCCTTTCTTCTCTTCTTCCTCCTCCTCCCTCCCTCCCTCCCTCCTCCTCCCTTCTGGCACTGATAATGTCCCCTAGTTGGGTCATAAACGTCTGCAAGAAAACCACCCAGCTCAGAGAGCACCCAGGACTCCACAGTCCTCCCTTCCTTCCTTCCTTCTTCCTCTTCCTCTTCCTCTTCCTTCTCCTCCCTTCTAGCACTGATAATGTTCCCTAGTTGGGTCATGAAATGTCTGCAAGGAAGCCACCAAACTCAGCACCAAAGACCCCACAGTCCATCCTCCCTCCCTCCCTTCTTCCTCTTCCTCCCCCTCCCTTCTAGCACTGATAATGTTCCCTAGTTGGGTCATGAAACGTCTGGAAGAAAACCACTAAGCTCAGAGAGCACCCAGGACCCCACAGTCCTTCCTCCCCCCCTCCCTCCCTCCCTCCTTTCCTTCTTTCTTTTCCTCCTCCTCCCTTCTAGCACTGGTAATGTTCCCTAGTTGGGTCATAAAACGTCTGCAGGAAAACCGCCAAACATCAGAGAGTATCAAGGACCCCAGAATCTTCCTCTCCCTCCTTCCTCCTCCTCTTCCTCATCCTCCCTGCAAACCCCCCTCCCTTCTAGCACTGATGATGTTCCCTAGTTGGGTCACGAAACCACCCAGCTCTGAGAGCGTCAAGGACCCCCACGTTCCCGCCCCGAATAGTAGAATATTCCCTTCTGTTAGTAAACCTCTTCCCTCTGAGGCTGCGGCCCTGTGCTACCGTCTGCCCTTCTTTCTCCCCCCAGGTCCTTTTGGAAAAGTACAAATATGTAGAGAACTTCTGCCTGATCGACGGGCGCCTTATCATCTGCACCATCTCCTGCCTCTTCGCCATCGTGGCTTTAATATGGGATTACCTTCACCCCTTTCCCGAATCGAAGCCGGTGCTGGCTGTCTGCGTGATCTCATATCCTTTCCCGGTGCCCCCGCCTTTCTTTAAAAAACGTTCCCTACTTCGCCGGTTTGCGAAGCCCTGGGTTCCTTTTTTGGGGGGGCCAGGTTGAAGGAGAGGTCAGGCTAGCTGATCTTCCCAAGTTCTGATCCTCTGCCCATTTTCCAGTGGGGAAAAAATAATCTGGTTCCATTTATCTCTGTATCCTGGGGCGTTCTCGCCGGCCGGAGTTGTAACTTTGAACGGCCACGAAACCAATGATTGTAATTTGAGGACTTATCTGCATTCAATCTGAGGAGCTACAGGTGTGTTGCCCCCATATCCCTCCAGATTTCATACTTGGTTTGAATTGAATTGAATTTTGATTTATGCCTTTACCCAGCCACCCATCTTCTAATAGAATAGAATAACAGAGCTGGAAGGGACCTCGGAGGTCTTCTAGTCCAGAGCTTTTCAACCAGTGGTACGGGTACCACCTGTGGTACATGGGCACCTGGCAGGGGGTACGCGACCATCCTAGAAAAGTGGTAGAGGGGGAGGGGAATGAGCTGAACCGGTGGCAGCACCGCACAAGCCTGAGTGAGAGACGGCTGGAGCTGCAGGGCTGTCAGGGCTCAGCGGAAGCGCCAGGATCAGCGCCAGGATCCAGCTGGAGCTCGGCACTGATCCTGGTGCTTCCGCTGAGCCCAGAAGAAGCGCCGATCAGCTGGAATGTTGCAGCATCTCCAGGGTCTTCTGATTTACATCCAGATGCTTGGCAACCGATTCATATTTATGACGGTCACAGTGTCCCAGGGTCATGTGTGAAGTGACCAAAACCTGCTGCAACCACCCAGCAGACGGGGGGAATAAAAACCAAACACCCCCCCACCCCACCCCATCCCTGCTGCCAATCCTCAACAGAAATGCTCAGAACAATGGAAACCTCGGACAGGAGGAAGAGCGCGGCCTGGTGGGCAGGCAGGTGTCTTGCTCAGTTGTCTTTTGGGGGGGGGGGAGTCATCAAGTTTTTGACCCCTTGCTAGGCGACTGGTGGTCCTCGGATGTTGCCATATCCTAAAAGTGGTACAATGGGTGAAAAGGTTGAAAAGCCCTGGTCTAACGTACCCAGGGTGGCTCCCGATTGAAAATTAAAATGGCATATCAAGATCGAATTAAAACTATAAACAGGTGGAAGAAAGACTAGGTGCCAAGCTACCCTTCTGTAGGGGCCGTTCTCTAATTTTATCTCAGAGCTTGTGGCAAAAATATAGCATCTCTCTGATTTATGGCCTTCTTTTCATCAAGTGGTCTGTCAAGTGGGAACTGAACGTGTTGCTCTCCTAGATAAGAGAAACGGAATGTGAATTCTTCCAAAGGGATTTGGCTTCGGACTACGTCTCCTTGAAGCCGGGATGTGAAGTCATTTTTGGTGCAACCACGACACCAACCGCTCCTTTGAGATGTGTCCTCTGGCGGGCCTTTTCTCCTGTTCACCACCTTTCTAAATCATAAATTTAGATACAGGTAGTCTGGTGCTGGAGAAGACTCCTGCGAGTCCCCTGGACTGCAAGGCGATCCAACCGGTCAGTCCTGGAGGAGATCAACCCCGACTGCTCTTTAGAAGGCCAGATCCTGAAATACTTTGGCCACCTAAAGAGAAGGAAGGACTCCCTGGAGAAGAGCCTGATGCTGGGAAAGATGGAGGGCAAGAGAAGAAGGGGACGACGGAGAAGGAGGTGGCTGGATGGAGTCCCTGAAGCAGCAGGCGTGAGCTTCAATGGACTCCAGAAGATGGTGGAGGACAGGAAGGCCTGGAGGAACGTTGTCCAGGGGGCCGCGATGGGTCGGAGACGACTTCGCAACTAACAACAACAGTCTTCAACTTACAATCATTTGCTTAATGGCCATTTGAAGTTAGAATGGCACTGGGGAAAAGTGAGTTACGGACGGTCCTTGCAAAAGTGACCATTGGAGCATCCGGATGACAGACAAAGCCTAGATAGGTAGGTAGGTAGGTGAATGGATGGAAGGAAGGAAGGAAAGGAAAGGAAAGGGAGGGAGAAAGGGGAGGAGAGAACGAGAGGAAGAATTTAGGAAGGAAGGGAAGAACGAAGAAAGCAAAAAAAGGAGGAAGGAAGAGAATGAGACAAGGAAGGAAGGGAAGAGAAAGGGACGGAGGAAGGAGACAATGATATTAGGAAGGAAGAGAGGGAGGGAGGAGGGAAAGGAGGAAGGAGAGAATGAGACAATGGAGGGAGGGAGAAAGGGAAGGAGGGGGAGGGAAGGAGAGGAAGAATTTAGGAAGGAAGGAAGGAAGCAAAAGTGAGGAAGGAGGTAGAAGAGAATGAGACAAAGAAAGAAGGACGGAGGAAGGAGACAAAGAGAAGGAAGGAAGGAGAAGGAGACAAGGAAAAGAGGAAGGAAGGAGAGAAGGGAAGGAAGGAAGGGCTTACCTCAGAGTTTTGAGTGACCTATCACTGGAGGCCTTCAAGAAAAGATTGGACGGCCATTTGTCTGGGATGGCATAAGGTCTCCTACTTTGGAGAGGGGTGGACTGGAAGACCTCTGAGGTCCCGTAGGAGTCTGATTCTAAGACCCGGTGTGTTTCTTTAACCTGGCCCAACGTATTTCATAATGATGGGAATTCTGACCATCTATACCTCATACAAGGAGAAGAGCATCTTCCTGGTAGCGCACAGGAAAGACCCCACAGGAATGGACCCCGACGACATCTGGCAGCTTTCCTCAAGTCTGAAAAGGTACCCCTCCCTCCCCGCTCCCAGGACTCCCCAAGCCCAGCCATTGGCCCTTCCCCCCCTCCCCCCCACAGAAGAGAGTTAAGTTGAATGTCGGAGTGTGCGCAGTCTTATTGCGCTGAGATAACCCAGGAGTAAACACAGTAAACCGTGGTCTATATTAAATGGTGATTTATCTTACACCATCTACCATATCATACACCAGGAACAACATACATACACGTGCTAATACAGCAGGATCCAACAAACCACAGTTACAGCAGGAAAAGGGAAGAGAGCACACATCAGCAGGAGCCTTCTTTTTATACAAAGGCTCTTCAAGGGACACAGACCCTGCTGAGTCATTCCCATCATTACGCCACACATCTCACATTATACAAGCTGGTTAGCTGTTCAATTATTACCTTGACATTGAAGTTGTCCTGCACGGATCCTGGCACGAAATAGCTTGGGTTGCCAACCTTGCAGGCTCCGTTGTGTCCTTCGGGCAGCCACGTTAACCTCCATAGAAATGTCCCCACCTTCTCTCCACCGCTGGCTAAGTGACCGGTCATTAAATGAGGATTATATCAAATGTGATATCATCGCAATTTAATTTAATTTAGTTTAATTTCATTTATCTTTTATTCTTTTTATTTTGTTTCTTGTTTCTATGTTTTGTTTTGTGTTTTTATTTTATTTGCTGTTTTTTATTTTATTATTTTCGTTTTCATTTTGTTTTTTACCTCATATTTTAGATAAGATAGATAAGATAACCTTTATTGTCATTTTTTTTTTACTGTGGACACAACGGCACACATCAAAAATGAAATTTAGTTGCCCGCTCCCAAAGTGAAACACATACATGACACACACCTAAAACATACTGTTGTACTATTTTATTACTTTTTATTTTACCTTATTTTGTATTTCTTACTTTATTTGGTTTTCTATTTTCTATTTTTATTTTATCTTAGATTATTTAGTTGATACTTGGCTTTATTTTATCTTTTATTCTTTTGTGTTTTTATTTTATCTGCTTTTTTTTGTTTTATCATTTTCATTTTCATTTTGTTTTTTACCTCATGTTTTATTCGTTGTTATTTTACCTTACTTTATATTTCTTATTTTATTTTGTTTTCTATTTTGTATTTTTATTTTATCTTAGATTGTTTAGTTGACACTTGGCTTTATTTAATCTTTTATTCTTTTCTGTTTTTATTTTATTTGCTATTTTTTATTTCGTTTTACTGTTTTCGTTTTCGTTTTGTTTTTTACCTTACATTTTATTCCTTTTTATTTTACCTTATTTTGTATTTCTTATTTTATTTTGTTTCCTTTTTTCTACTTTTATTTTATATTAGATTACTTAGTTGATACTTGGCTTTTGTTTTGTGTTTTTATTTTATTTGCTATTTTTTATTTTGTTTTATTATTTTCGTTTTCATTTTGTTTTTTTACCTTATATTTTATTTGATGTTATTTTATCTTATTTTGTATTTCTTATTTTATTTTGTTTTCTATTTTCTATTTTTATTTTCTGTTAGATGATTTAGTGGACACTTGGCTTTATTTTATCTTTTATTCTTTTCTGTTTTTATTTTATTTGCTATTTTTTATTTTGTTTTATTATTTTCCTTTTCATTTTGTTTTTTACCTCATATTTTATTCGTTGTTATTTTACCTTATTTTGTATTTCTTAATTTTATTTTGTTTTCTATTTTTATTTTCTATTAGATGATTTAGCTGATACTTGGCTTTATTTTATCTTTTATTCTTTTGGTGTTTTTATTTTATTTGCTATTTTTTATTTTGTTTTATTATTTTCCTTTTCATTTTGTTTTTTACCTCATATTTTATTCGTTGTTATTTTGTATTTCTTAATTTTATTTTGTTTTCTATTTTTGTTTTCTATTAGATTATTCAGCTGATACTTGGCTTTATTTTATCTTTTATTCTTTTTGTGTTTTTATTTTATTTGCTATTTTCTCTTTTCTTTGACCATTTTGGTTTTCATTTTGTTTTTTTACCTCATGTTTTGTTCGTCGTTATTTTACCTTAGTTTGTTTTCTATTTTCTATTTTTATTTTCTGTTAGACGATTTAGTGGACACCTGGCTTTATTTTCTCTTTTATTCTTTCGTGTTTGACGTTATATTTTACTATTTCGTTTCTTTTTAAGAAAGCGCCCGCAGTTTTGGCTTCCCTGACGCGTCCTGTCTGTCGTTCTGTCCCTCTTTCGGCAGGTTTGACGACAAATACAGCCTGAAGATGACGTTCATCGGCGGCCGCAGCAAGCAGCAGAGAGAGGCGGAATTCACCCGCTCCATCGCCAAATTCTTCGACGGCAACGGGACCCTAGTCATGGATACCTTTGAGCCCGAGGTCTCCAAGCTTCACGACAGCCTCCTGACAGAGAAAAAGCTTAAATAGGCTGCCAGCCAGCTGCCTGCTTAGATCATGCGGAGCTTAAAGCCAATAAAGCAATCAAGCAATCTTGATTGGCAACCTTCCTTTTGTCCTTAGACCCCCCCTCTCCTTTCTCTCCCCATCCCTCCTTTGAGCAAAAGAGGATTTTCATTTTAATTTGCTTCCCTTTAGGTCACGGAGATCCGATCTCGACCCATTTGTAAGACTCGGGGACTTCAACTCCCAGAATTCCCCAGCCAGCATAGCTGGCTGGGGAATTCTGGAAGTTGGAGTCCCCGAGTCTTAAAAGCTGCCGGAGTTGATGCTCCTGGTTTAGATCGACATCCTCGGTGCCGCCTGAGCTGGGTGTGATTTTTCTTGGAGACGTTTCGTTAACAGACTAAGTAACGTCATCCGTGGCTCAGGATGAGCACTGCGTGGGTGGCGTTCCCTAGTTGGGTCATGAAACGTCTGCAGGAAAATTGCCAGAGAACACCAGGGACCCCCATTGCCGTCCTCCTCCTCCTCCTCCTCTCTCCTGGCATTGATGATGTTCCCTAGTTGGGTCATGAAACGTCTGCAGGAAAACTGCCAAGCTCAGAGAGCATCAAGGACGTCACAGTCCTTCCTTCCTTCCTTCCTTCCTTCCTTCCTTCCTTCCTTCCTTCCTTCCTTCCTTCCTTCCTTCCTTCCTTCTGGCACTGATGACGTTCCCTAGTTGGGTCATGAAACGTCTGCAGGAAACCAGCCAAGCTCAGAGCACCAAGGACCCCACAGTCTTCCCTTCCTTCCTTCCTTCCTTCCTTCCTCCCTCCCTCCCTCCCTCCCTCCCTNCCCTCCCTCCCTTCCTTCCTTCCTTCCTTCCTTCCTTCCTTCCTTCCTTCCTTCCTTCCTTCCTTCCTTCTGGCACTGATGACGTTTCCTAGTTGGGTCATGAAACGTCTGCAAGAAAACCGCCAAGCTCAGAAAGCACCAAGGACCCCACAGTCCTCCCTCCCTCCCTCCCTCCTCCTCTCTCCTCCTGGCACTGATGACGTTCCCTAGTTCGGTCATGAAATGTCTGCCAGAAAACCGCCCGGCTCAGAGAGCACCCGGGACCCCCACAGCTCAACCCTGAGCTACAAATATATTTCAGTGCTTTGTGAACCTAGATTTGCAAAGCCTTCCTGGCATGGGAAGGGCTGACCCTAATTTTTATTTCATTTTCTTTTGAAATGGGCAGTGCTGCAGGCCTTGTCAAACAATCCGCGGCGGAATCTGAACGGCTGCTTAGTTAATTAAGGTCGTGTTTTTCCATAACGCCTGTCGCTTAACCGATTTGTCACGGTCCAGTTTTCTCTTCTTTTTCTTTTCTTTTTTCTTTTTCTTTTTTTTTTGATCTACCAAGCCACCGAAACCATTTTGGGGTGGGGTGGGGAATTTGATCTGGAGATTTGAAGATGCCGGCAAATCCTCGACTTAACGATCGCCATTCAGCCCCAAATTTCTGCTGCTCAGTGAGACGGTTGTTAATAAAGCTTCGCCCCGTTTTACGATCTTGCTTGCCCCGGTTGTTAAGTGGATCGCTGCAGCTGTTAACGTCGGACGGTCGCTAAATGAACTGTTATGTTGAGGACGACGGTAAAAGAAAAACAGTGGAGATTTTTGAAATATTTTTCGTGTCTACTTCGACCCTTTTTTGGTGCACTTATATCCATGCAGTTGGAGAGGTGGGACACCCTCTCCTTTTGTTTCTTGGCATAAACTGCCGTTTTCTAAAAAAATACTGTGTGTGTTTTTTTTTCCCAATAAAAGGCAGAAAACATAATTGTGGAATTATTCATGAGTGGGATACGCAGTGCTTTTATTTATTGATAGATTGTAGCTCTAATTATTTACATAGGCATCCACACGCGGCTGAACCGAATCACTTATAACAAACTTCACCCCTTTTACGGCCAAAAGTTATAAATTAATTACATAACTATAAATATTGTAAGAATTTTTTTAAAAAAGAGAACCAATTCGGTGTAGTGGTTAAGGCACCCAGGCAGCTTTCATCCGTAAGGTGGGCCTAGAACTCACCGTCTCCTGGTGATTGGCCCAAGGTCACCCAACTGGCTTTTATATCTAACGTGGCTCTAGAATTTACTGTCTCCTGGTGATTAGCCCAAAGTTACCTAGCCAGCTTTCATCCCTAAGGTGAGACTAGAATTCACCGTCTCCTAATGATTGGCCCAAAGTCACCCAATTGGCTTTCTGCCCTAAGGTGGGACTAGAACTCACCGTCTCCTGGTGATTGGCCCAAAGTCACCAACCGGCTTTTGTGCCTAAGGTAGGACTAGAATTCACCATCTCCTGGTGATTAGCCCAAAGTCACCCAACTAGCTTTCATTCCTAAGGTGGGACTAGAACTCACCGTCTCCTGGTGATTGGCGCAAAGTCACCCAACTGGCTTTCATGCCTAAGGCGGGACTAGAACTCACCGTCTCCTGGTGATTAGCCCAAAGTCACCCAACTAGCTTTCATTCCTAAGGCGGGACTAGAACTCACCGTCTCCTGGTGATTGACCCAAAGTCACCCAGCTGGCTTTCATGCCTAAGGCGGGACTAGAACTCACCGTCTCCTGGTGATTGGTCCAAATCTAAGCAATTCCCTCCAGTTGCCCCCAACCCATCTCGGGCCGTAGAGCATCTTAGTCTTTAGTTCCCCCAGAAACCGAAGGGGGGCGTGAAAAAAAGCAACCGACTCATTCGGACGGCATTAGTGGCTAATATTTTATACACGTTTTCTTTCTGGAGTCCCGGATCAATTCAGGGTTGAGAAGCCCCAAGTGAAAAGGGACGCTGTCTTTCAAGGTGGAAAGGGCTGGGGGGGAGGGGGGGATCATCCAACAAACCAAACGATCCCAATTCAGATCCGATCTTTCCCTGCCGATGCTTCCATGGACTCCTCCATCGATTCTGCCACCGATCCCTAAAAAGGGAGAATCTGTCACTCAAAGTAGCCGGACACATCCACTGGGATCGTCGATAGGGTTGTGAGTGGGGGGAGTCCTTGACTTACGACCGCAACTGAGCCCAAACTTTCTGGTGCTAAGCAAGTTGCTAAGTCAGTTTCGCCCCGTTTTACGACGTTGCTCGTCACAATTCGGTGAATCGCCAGAGTTGTTAAGCTAATAAGTTAGTTGTTAAGTGAATCTGGTTCCCCCCGTTGACTGCTTGTCAGAAGGTCCTGGATGGGGAGAAACAGACTCAGGCTCAACCCTTCCAAGACTGAGTGGCTGTGGTTGCCGGCGCCTCGGCATAGTCAGCTGACTCCATCGCTGACTATAGGGGGCGAAACTCTGGCTCCCTCGGAGAGGGTGCGCAATCTGGGTGTCCTCCTGGATCCACGGCTGACACTAGAAGACCAGTTGACGGCCGTGGCCAGGGGGGCGTTTTACCGGGTACGCCTGATTCACCAGTTGCGGCCTTTTCTGGACCGGGACGCCTTGCGCACAGTCACCCATGCTCTTGTCACCTCCCGCCTGGACTACTGCAATGCTCTCTACATGGGACTCCCCTTGAGGAGCACTCGGAGGCTCCAGTTAGTCCAGAATGCAGCCGCGCGGGCGGTGTTGGGAGTGACTCGTCGCTCCCATGTAACGCCGCTGCTGCGCGAGCTGCACTGGCTGCCGGTGGCTTTCCGGGTGCGCTTCAAGGTGCTGATTATCATCTTCAAAGCACTCCATGGCATCGGACCTGGATATCTCCGAGACCGCCTTCTGCCGCAGGTTACCTCCCATCGGCCGATACGCTCCCACAGAGTGGGTCTCCTCAGGGTGCCGTCAGCCAGACAGTGCCGGCTGGCGACCCCCAGGGGGAGAGCCTTCTCTGTTGGAGCACCCACCCTCTGGAACGAACTACCCCAAGAGATCCGGGTGATTCCGGATCTCCCCTCCTTCCGCCGCGCCCTCAAGACATGGCTATTTAAACTGGCAGGACTGGCCTAAGGGTTATTTTTAACTTGGTTTTATAATAATTTTTTTAAAAAAATTAATTAAATTATAAAGGCCTTATAATAATATTTTATTTTAATTAACTTTTTAACGTTAGTATTTTTGTAGTTATGTACTTGTTTTTAAAAAGGCTGTAAGCCGCCCTGAGTCCGCAGGGAGAAGGACGGGGTAGAAATTTAAATAATAATAATAATAATAATAAAAAATGGGATCGCATGACCCCTGGGACACTGAAACTGTCATAAGTACATGCCAGTTGCCAAGCATCTGAATTCTGATCACGTGACCATGGTCGTGTGAGAAATGGTCATAAGTCACTTTCCTGAGCCAGCATGGGGAAAGTATGCCCTCTTTATGACTTGGGGACTTCAACTCCCAGAATTCCTGAGCCAGCATGGGGAAACCATGGCTTGTTTATGACTCGTGGACTTCAACTCCCAGAATTCCTCAGTCAGCATGGGGAACTCTGGCCCCTTCATGACTCGTGGACTTCAACTCCCAGAATTCCTCAGCCAGCATGGGGAAACCATGGCTTGTTTATGACTCGTGGACTTCAACTCCCAGAATTCCTCAGCCAGTGTGAGGAAAACTCTGGCCCCTTCATGACTCGTGGACTTCAACTCCCAGAATTCCTCATTCAGCATGGGGAACTATGGCTCCTTCATGACTCGTGGACTTCAACTCCCAGAATTCCTCAGTCAGCATGGGGAACTATGGCTCCTTCATGATTCGTGGACTTCAACTCCCAGAATTCCTGAGCCAGCACGGCTCAGCTTGGAAACCTCTCCCTTTCCCCTCAGCATGGCTGGCTCAGGAATTCTGGGAGTTGAAGTCCACCAGTCATAAAAGAGCCAAGGTTGCCTACCCCTGGCCCAGACCCTCTCCTGGACTTCAAACCCTAGCACCCCATGGAGGTCCACTGCTCTGGACCTCCGTCCGCTTAGTGACTCAAGTTATGCCGAAGGTCTGCTAGACCAGCCGTGGAGGAGCTTCCAGCTTTTGGGCCAGTATCTCCAAGTTCTGAGGTTCTCCAGTCAGGACAGTTGGGGGGTTCTCCTGCTGCTCTTCCATCCGCACGTGGAGGGATGATAGGAGCCATGGACTGATGCTCCAAGGTGGGATGATATCTCCAAACCTTGGCACTTTTCAGAAGCCTAGGCCTCTCAAAGGAAAGGAGAAGCTTGGGGAGACAACCCTTGAGGAGAAGATACTCACGGTGCTTTCAAAAGCCGAATCCATGGGTTCTGGAGAGACTTTTTGCCTGAGCAATCCTCCATATCGAATCCTGCAGGAGAGAGAAAGTGTGGTGGGACTTCCATCTAGCAGATCATGGAAGCCAAAGGTGTTAGGTCAGCAAGGATATGAGGCTGGAGAAATGTATTCATGGCTGGTTTCTCCTCCATCTCCTGAAGGACCTTCATCATCATTTTGGGGGGTGTTGGTGGAATCTCTTGGTCATTTAAAGGGGTGGGGGGTGGGATTTCCTGTCCACTTGCGTGGAATTCTCGTGGAGAAGGCTCCTTAGACTTCAAGACCAGTTCTGTTCCTCCGTGCTCCGTTATTTATGAAGAGGTCCTTGGTGGTCTCTGAGCTTGGTTTTCTTGCAGATGTTTTATGGCCCAGCTAGGTGACATCATCACTGCTAGAAGGGAGGAGGAAGGAAGGAAGGAAGGAAGGAAGGAAGGAAGGAAGGAAGGAAGGAAGGAAGGAAGGAAGGAAGGAAGGAAGGAAGGAAGGAAGGAAGGACGGACTGTGGGGTCCTTGGTGCTCTCTGAGCTTGGTGGTTTTCTTGGAGACATTTCGTGACCCAACTAGGTGACATCATCAGTGCTAGAAGGAAGGAAGGAAGGAAGGAAGGAAGGAAGGAAGGAAGGAAGG